GACTGTTGGACTGGGACTCAGAAGGATTGCATTCAAATTTCCACTCAGCCATGATGATGACACTCATTGGGTGATCCAGGGCCAGTCACACTGCCTCAGGCTGACCTACTGCACAAGGTTGTTGTAAGGATGTGGAACAAAGAAAGATGATGGGAAGGACAATAGCTACTTACACTACAAAGAGTTCAGTGGAGGAAATAAATAATAATTGTATGTCATCAAATTGTTTCTGATGGTTTTCTAAATAGACAATATATGGAAGTGGTTTGCAATTCCCTGCTTCTGAGGATATCTTGGGACTGTGCAGCTTGCCAAAGACCACATAGGCTGTCTCTTCTCCTAGGAGCCACAGTGGGGGAATTGATCTCCCAACCTCTGGCTCCAGAGCAGGAGAACTAAACCACAGGGAAAGGCAAGATATAAATGGACCAAATGAAACACAGAACAAAACACAAAAGTGGTAGATACTGCATTGATAGCAATTGTCAGGGGAAAAGCCTGACTCAGGAGAGAGAGTCAGCCAGCTCTGAACCAAATACCTCCTAAAGTGGCATATTAGGGCAAACCCTATGCCAGGCAACATTCTTAGAAATGCCGTTCTCTAGAGTTTGACGTCAATAGGGTGTGACAGGTACACTGCCTGTGGTCCAGCCAGCTTAGCAGGTTACTGATGGGCCCTTTGAGTTTCCACAGTGAACAAGAAGTCCAGCCACCTGTAAGCAGCTACAAAAAGAGGGAAGAAAATATGCCAGGCTCCTAACACCCTTAATACAGATACCTTTCCTGAATACAGTACATACCTGTAAGGAAGGGCCAGGTACAGAGAGACTGAGTCCTATTGAACTCAGGGAACAATGGATGTTTTCAGAAATGATGCTCAAAACCTTTCTCTCCCCACTCCACATTTCATTTGCCTCTTGGTCAAATACAAAATTTACAGTGACTAGAATGCACAGTTCATTTGATCTAACCTTCGAGTGACACCAACAAGGATTGTAATCCATGTCTTAAAAAAGTGTTCCTGTGACAAATTTGAATGCAGCCCACCACCTTGCCTCTGGAAATGGGAAGGGGGAATAGAAGGTAAGGAGAAACCTAGCCTCCTCCCATCACTAGCATTTCTGCAAGAAAGTACACAATATGGGTTGCCAGGGATCAGACCATAGGTTCCTACAGCCCAGCATCCTATTTCTAACAATGGTCAGCTAATGATGCTGGGAAACACAAGAGCCCCTCTTCATCTAATACTCAGAGGTGTAATGGGCTCCAGCCCCAGTCAATTTATGCCATGATAAACCAGTTCATTTTAAAAGGGACATAAAACTTCACTTTGCATTGGCCAGAATTGGGAAAAACATTTCCAGACAGGTATGTGTGTTAGATGGTGCTGCAAAAATATGAGAGTCCTCTTGAACCTTAATGGCTCATAAGTTTACTAAAGCATGGTTGGCAGTCAACCATGTCTACCAAACACACACTTCTTGTCACAGAGACTGGGAAAGTTACTTTTTTGGACAACATTTCCCAATAGCCTCTAGCCAACATAGAAGACAGACACTGGATGAAACTGAGAGATGTGGGCCAAAAAGTAACTGTCCCAAGTTCTGAATCTTCAAGAACACTTGTGTTGAAGTGAGTTACAGTTCATGAAAGCACATGCTATAATATGTTTATCAGGTGTTAAGGTGTTACAGCGTTCTGTTGGTTTTCATGAGATAAAGCCACCTCTCTTGAATGAGTGGGGAGATTCCACATAGCATGCAGAGGCATAACCTGCTTCTGCCCAGAAGCATCCTCCTTTTCTTTTTTGAAAAAGATCTTTTGTTACAGGAATGAGAAAGCCCTACAGCATTCTTACTTTCTTAACCCATAGTTCATCTCATCTAGAAGACAGCAGATTGGGGGAGCACGTCCTACTTTGTCTTTGCCAAGGAGTCATATTGGGAGATCCTACATATATATTTGTCTGGGAGTCCATTTTCTTGGCTTTATCTAGACTCACAAATGGGTAAACATGGGGCAGGATGAGGGTGCATATTTTGCTCGGAGCAATGCAATGAGACTAAACTGCAGCTAACTAAAATTCTACTTATTTCCAAGGGACCCTTAGCTCAATCCTATACAATTCCTGGATCTTGGACATGTTCACCTTTTGGACCAGTTCCCAGAAACTCCCTGGCAGCACAGCCACTGTCTAGGCTGACTGGGAGGTTCTGGGAGTTGTAATAGAAGGAAGAGGAGGAGAAAGGAACTTTTTCAAGTTATGGGAAGTCTACCCCCCCCCCAAAGAAAGGTCTCATTCATTTCAAAAGGATGCATTCAATGTGGATATAGGATTGCAACCTTAGATGTGACTCACTTTTTCTGGGTTGTGGGCAATGGGTTGCAGGCAGCACCTTAAAAGACCAATAGGTTGTGGCATGCTAACATTTTCATCATCTGAAAATGAAGATGCCGGCCACAGTGACTGGCGAAACGTCAGGAAGAACAACCTTCAGGACACGGCCAAAGAGCCCCAAAAACTCACAACAACTATTTTCATCGTCGAATGTGTGAATTGCTTATTGATTGATCAGCACTGTTTCTGATTTGTTTGAGAGTCTCAAAGTTCACCAGACGGAGTCGTATGACGCTCCTCCCTCCCATGCCTTGTATCCTCTGAGATAGCAGGTGGCAGTCACCCCCATCAAATCCATTTCTATAGCTCTATTCCTGGCAGGGGAGGCTGGTTTATCTGCTTTGATGAGCAAACAAACCCCAGCGATACCAAAGGTGCAGGGGTGAGGTGGGGTGGGGGTGAGGAGAAACAACACTATCCTGGGTGAAACTGGCATGGGCCCTGCCAGCTCTCACCTGGTAATGATTAAACTGCCAGCCTACATTTCCCGGCAAGGTAGGCTGGCATCGGCCCAGGTGGCACATATTATGCAAATTCTCCAGGCAGGAGCTGAGTACCTGTGTTTGGAATTCCCCTAGAGGTTGAGATCATGTTACGGGAGAGGAGAGGCGCCCTATAAAGGGACAGCAATGGGGAGGGGCTGAGTCATACGCAGGAGTACAATCGCACAAATACCAGGGCACACAGGTGAGCGGGAGCTGAGTGGCCTCTGGAACTTTGCTTGCTTGATAGCCTTCTCTTGTGTGGATTACCTGCCGCAGCCCTTGTTACTGCTACTGCTGTTGGAACACCTGCTCGGTAGGTAAGAGAAAGGAGTGACTGGGAGAAAGAAGATAAATGTGGTGTAGCTCGGCCTGATCCGATGTTTTGCTGAGATCTTTGTAGAAACCTGGGAAAGTTCCTTTTGGATTAGGACCCTCAGAACCCCCCAACAAGAATGTTGGTTAGGGGATTCTTGTTGTTGTCAAAAAAATAAAAATAAAGGAATCTTCCCAGCTCTGACTTTTAGTTATTTGAACTGTGACACTACTCTTTCTATTAGCTGGTTATTTGCTGCCAAAATACTAAGCAGGCTCTGATTCCAACCCCCCCAGGCAAAGATATCGTTAGGGAAGGTTGACTATTACTTTCATATTCTGCTTATGAGCTTCCAAATGCATCTGACTGGTCGTCGCTGGAAACAGTGCATGGGGCAAGATGGAGCCCCTTTGATCTTGCTGAGTGGTTTTTCTGTTGCTCTAGTTTTTTGTTTGTTTGCTTGCTTGCTTTTTTAAGGCTTAACAGAGTGGTTTTTCTGTTGCTCTAGTTTTTTGCTTGCTTGCTTGCTTTTTAAAGGCTTAACGCTGTTTCACTCCTGTTGCAGTCCATGCAGCTCTCTGGCTGCAAGTTCATGCTGGGTCTTGGGTTGGCTCATTCAGGTTTTGTTCTGGAACTGAGCATTTGTATGATATCCCCAGCTTTGATGCACCCGATATGAAGGCTGGTGGGGTGTCCTGCCCTGAGGATTTAACAATCCATGAGCAAGATTAAAGTCAGCAAAAAGAGAAGGATTAGGCATTGTCAGTCATGAATGATCAGGGTTGAACAGAAGGGCGAGGCCAGCCTGAATCAGGAGACAACTGTTTTCAGAAGACACCATTGAACAAGCACAATCTTCACTCCAATAGCCTGAAGCACCAAGTGGGGTTTGGCAACACACTTGCTGGAATTCACTGGCTACGCAATGTCCCAAATGTTTGGATGCTGAAAAGCAGAAGGAGAATCTGCATTGACCTTTTGACCCATGTGGAGACAGAGAAGGCCGATTTAAAAGAAATAATTTTTAAAAATCAAATGAAAAGCAGAGGTTGGGAAAGTAACTTTTTGTACTACATTTCCCATGCTGGGTGGTTGCTTCTGGGAGCTGTTGTCAAAAAGTAACTTTTCTAAGCTGTAAAAAATCATTAGTTTTATGTGACTAAGACTCAATCTATATTAAAAACTTGATGGGCAGGGAGTATTGGAAGACATAAGCAAGCTCTACTTTTTGTCTTCTACCTCTTTGGATTTTTTCATTTACCTTTGCTGCAGTGGGGAAATTGCAGATGACAAAGTAGTGCTTAGTAGTGAACTGAAACAGGAGAAACCAGGGTTGGTCTCTGCTGTGCCACAAAGCTCACTAGGTGAACCCATCAGTCACTACCTCTCAGCCCCTACCAGGCTTGTTGTTTGACTAAAACAGAGTGGTTAACTCAACTGCTTGGATGGAAAGGTAGAATATAAATATAAACAATTCATAAATGACCTTTTTGATCCAAACGGAATGTATAGTTTGATTTGTTGTGAGGCTTCCTGGTGAGAGAAGGCTGTGGATCTGTGTTTTGGGCTTCATCTCAGATCCCAGCCACAAGGGACTAGAAAGATATCTGAGAATATGGAAGAGCAGTGGGACTTGCTCATGCAAGACTCAAGCAGACCTGATTGCTGAAGAAGATGGCAAAGTTGAAGAAGAGGGTTGTGTTCAGTCTATGCAAGCTCTGGCAATGTGATGCATGTGCTGGCAATTTTTTGCTGATTGAGTTGGAGGGATCCATCCTGAATCTTAACTGTTTTGATTTTGTAGCAGAAAGTTCAATGGCGGGATCCTGTGAAATCAGCAACCTCTTCTCAAACTACATCAGTGCCATCTACCAGCAAGAGGAAACACCCCCTGACCCAGACCTATTGACCCACCTAGTAGATGATGACAATGCTTCTCCCACATTGTCTAATACACACACAGCAATGGAGACAACTGGTAGGTACCCGTACTTTAATATTGCAAAGGGATCTGGGCTGCATAAGAAACACTCCTGAAATATCTCACTTATTAGGATGCCCTATTAGGGTCACTGTAAGTCAGTTATGACTCTACAACATATAACACATGTGGGTGTGGGCGAGGTGAGAGGACAATTTTCCTTTTAATATGAACTCCTAGATGATCATAGTCCTCTTAGCTAATACTGGATTAATGCATATTAAATTCTTTGAACACTTGAAATGCAATCAGCATAATCATCATCATTCACCTCCGCTTTTAAAGGGTGGAAAGGTTACTGGATATGTAAGCTTGTGGATTCTTCAAACCATATTGTGAAATATGTATTTTTTTCAAGCTCTCATTTCTCCCCTATATAAAATATGGAACAACCTATTGAATTACTTTACAGGCAGATGGGAATCCGAGCCTTCAAAGTAAAGGTTTACATGGAGGACTAAGTATAGCTCAAAAATCTGTTGGCATTCCTCTAGTCTCCACTTTTCCAGCAATAACAAACTACAACAAAAGTTGTGGACCTTTGTAACTGCTGGGGCAGTTAACATCTCTGTAGGTTCTGCTTTCATTGGTTACATAGATTAACAAACTACAACAAAAGTTGTGGACCTTCGCAAAGGATGCCGCTGGGGCATTTAATATCTCCGTAGGTTCTGCTTTCATTGGTCACATAGAGTATTCTGACATTTGAATGAGCAGAAGGTAAACCTAAATCTGCTTGTAGATTTATGGGTGATTTGCAACAGATCAGCATCAATATATGATTCCCAGTTATGTTAACAGTGCAGCAAGAAACACACACACGGGAGAGGGGGTGTCCACACCAGGCTCTGAATGGTGGATCTCAATTTTAATTGGAAAAACAAGCACAAACCCCCAAATAGATCTACTAAGCTCAAAGTCAGCCAGACTCTGTTCTAATGTAGTTAGGACTGGTTGAGCTGGGGAGCCTGGAAGCGGCTGTCCTAAATGACCTCACCCCAGCGGGGAGGGGCATGTTTAAAGATAAGGGAACAGGTGACAGGTGTACATGTTAACCCAACCACAGTGACTAAGCAAGATAAATTCTGTGCGTAAATGATCCAGCCACACCCTGTGCTGTTCAGGCAGAAGAATGTTCCAGGGCTGGGTTCGCACTGGCAAAGAAAGCAGTATCCAGCGTGGCACCTGCTCAGTCAAACCCCCTCCTTTCCCCTCCCTCTCTCTCCCACCTCTCCTGTACAGGGAAACCAACATGGTATGGAGAGATGCCTCACTGCTGGAGCAAATCTCAAGTGCTGGAGTGGATCAGCTACCATGTGGAGAAGAACAAGTACGATGCCAGTGCCATAGATTTCTCCTGCTGCAACATGGATGGCTACACACTTTGCCAGTACTCCCGGGATCAGCTGGGAATCATTTTTGGGTCCCTTGGCGATGAGCTCTATGACCGCTTACATGAGATCAGTAAGTGCTGGTGCCTTGCTGCCGCCACCCCCACCAAACTGCTCGGCAGTTCCAGTAGATCCTCAAGGGCTGAGAGAACTAAGTAAGTTCTGCCAGCCTAGAACTGTAAGACACAGCTCTGTGGCAGAAGCCCAGAACTTCTCAGAAGAGACGGCCATGGGAATTCACAGTGGGCAGCAGAGAGAGAGAGAGAGAGAGAGAGAGAGAGAGAGAGAGAGAGAGAGACATAACTAGGGCTCTTGCATTTGATAAGCCATTGCTCCTATATTGTCCAAATAACCCCACAACCCCAAAGGTTGAGGATGCGGCTTCTGGCTCGTCCCTGCATCAGGAGCAAGGACCAAAGAGTCTGTCCCAGTAGTACATGTCCCTTTGACTCACAACAGTATATTTTCTCCTCCACCCTTTTAGCCTCTGTCTCAGATGAACTCAGCTGGATCATGTCTATACTGAAAAACCAAGATGTTTCCCAAGAGGCCCTTCTGGACTCCAGCTCTTTAGGTAAGAGGAAGGATGCCTTCACTGTTTAAGCTCATTGTGGTTATTGCCCTGAGGTGTGTGTGCGTTTGTGTAAGTGAATGTAATCCTCAGCTTCTTTCTTTGTTGTTCCAGAGCTGGGGAACTCATGCAGTGAAGATAACTTGTGTGAGATGAAGTTCACAAACCTTTTCTCGCCAAGTGACCTTGGCTACATCTCTGGGGCCATGTCACCAGACAGCTCGGTGTCTTTTGCAGGTAGGATCCTCTCCTTTGTCTGTTTCCTCCGCTTTCCTCAAGCTCTAGCTCAGTGAACAGACCCAGAGCCCCCGTGAGTTGGCCTCTTGGACCTGGCTGCCTGCATCCTTTGGGATATATCGAGCTTCTTGCCTTTATCCAAGAATTGAGAAAAGCTTAACCCTAGAAGTATCATCCTAGCATGAGAGCCCCTCCAATTCCAGTGCTATGCCCACCTGCTCCTTACAAGTAACACTTAATGATGTCCGGCTTACAGTTTGAGGCCTCTTGGTATCAGGGCTTTTCTGCAGAAGGTGAGGTTTAATTTTGCTTTTTCTTTCTCCTCAGGGACGATGTCTCAGAGCCCTCAGTCTCAGGACTCCGGTGGAAGTGACCTGGATCTTGATCCCACAGACATAAAGCACTTCCCCTTTTCTCGTGGTAAGAAATGTGTAGGGGAGGGTCTCAAGGGGAAGACTGGATTAGCAGGACTGGTTAAATCAACATTAATGTAAATCTCATTAATTCAGTGGATTTACTATAGCTGAGATCAACAACTGGATTTAGCCTATAAATAGCAGCAACATTTCTCTAGGAGGTGAATGTCAGAGGCCAGTTTTGCAGTATGCATTTGCTGCATCCACAGGCCCAGCTTTCAGTTTTCTAAACTGTCTTATCTTGAGGTTAGTCCTACCATTAGGCAGAGTGAGGCAGCTACTTCATGCAGCAGCTTTTCATGTCAGGAAAATGCAGGAAATGGTTAGGGTTTTTTCAGTTATCATTATTGTATTTTTAGTGTCAGGCTTGAGGAGATGTGGTTATGGGGCATTTTACCTCAGCTGCCAAAATTAACTTGGCTAGCATTGAACATTATACACTATAACTTGGAGTGGGGTTTGCCATTTGCTTCTCTGTCCAGTCCTGTACATCAACTGTTTGTGTATATTTTTAGGTTCAAATTATAAGTTATGTGCAATTGCATGTTTTCCCACTCAGAAGTCTCTCTTCTCTTTCTGTAACAGAAAAGATATTAGGGTGGGGGGCTCTATATGTTGTTCTGTGACTGGAAGGAAATATGGAGGTATTTAGAGAGGGAAGGTGGTCCATGGAGAGAGCAAATGACCTTTCCCTCCACACATCCATATCCTTAACATGGGAGTATTCTAGTCTGCAGTTTCTGTGGTTGCTTTTTATTTATTTTATTTATTTTATTTATATCCCGCCTATCTGGTCGGTTAAGACCACTCTAGGCGGCTAGACCACTCTAGGCTCTTTTGTTACCTCTTTTGGCATGTGGCCATGAACCGTTGAGAATCTTGCTAAGTAGCTAGTTTTTTCTTACATTCAGTACAATAATTATATATATATATCTCACGTAGAAGGGACGGAGGCTGATCTAGTGAATTCTGATATCCAACAATTCTGCTGAATATGGGGAAATACAGTGAAAACCAGCTGGAGATCTCAAACAGCAGCAGAAATGGAACATGCTGATCCTAGAGTGGCTATGAATGGCTGGATACCTTCCCCATCCGGATGTTCTCTGAATGTATTGGATAATAACTCCCAGCAAGTCCAGCCAGAATGGCCATACTAGTTAGTAATGTTGTAGTCCACTGCATCCAGAGTTCACCAAGTTGCAGATGCCTGCTCTCAAAGCAAGCTCCTCTGACAATTGGTTTACAATAGAAACATTATGATTACTTAGTTATTTTATAAGTTAAAAAATTCCAGCTCTCAGACTTTGCTGTCCCTTCTAAAGATGGGTGTGTGAGCGTGTGTGTGTGAATGTTTTCCAACTTTGGTTTTCAGAGATGCCAATTGGAAGGAGGTGATTTATTAGCCTAAATAGGTTAAGGTGCTCTGGCAGAAACTGAATATTAAATGTCTCCTACTTTTCTTCCTATTTCTACAGACAATGATACAGAATATAAGAAAGAAGATCTCAAGAAGCGGAAAAGGGGACGGCCCAGGAAGGTCAGCAAGGATAACAGAGACTGCCTGGAAACCAAAAAGAGCAAACACTGTACGTGGATTTCATAATTGCAGCCTCTTCCTACATGGTGCCCTCCTGACGTGTTGGATGATACATCCGTCATCCCATCCAGCTTGGCTGCGCTGACTGGGATGAGGGAGCTGTCATCCCAACACACAAGGTGGGCAGCAGGTCCTGCATGCAATCCAAATTACACCTTAGAAAATTAACAAAAAATTAGCTACAGCTCTCAGAAATCCCCAGCCATTCATGCCAGAGATAGGTGGCATTGATCAGAGGCGTGCCTGTTGAACTGTCCTGCCCCTCACCACACCTAGTGCCTTGGATGCTGAGCTGGGTAATCCCAGCTCAACTATCTCTTAAGTCTTCAACATCCTGTGAGATATGGAGCCTACTCTGACATGGATGTTCTAATTTCTCCACCCCTGATCTTGACAGTTGAATAATTTTGCACCCCTGTTTTCTCTAACCAGCCCCAAGAGGCATCCACCTATGGGAATTCATCCGGGACATCCTAATCCACCCGGAGATGAATGAGGGGTTGCTGAAATGGGAAGACCGTCAAGAAGGCATCTTCAAATTTCTGCGCTCAGAGGCAGTGGCCCAGCTCTGGGGACAAAAGAAAAAGAATAGCAGCATGACCTATGAGAAACTAAGCCGTGCCATGAGGTATGTATTTAAGAGAGCTTTTAATCATGATCAGTCATTAAAGAAATACAGTAATTAAAAATTCCTGGGCAGGTTACTTTAAAAATATATATATATGCCACACAAATGCAAATATGGTGGATCATGCTAGTAAAATTATGAAAACAAAAAATAAAAACATCAAAAAGTAGCAAAATTTCAATAGCAAGATTGTTTTCTAAAAAATTTTTTTACACAAAGCCTAAAAACAGTAAGCAGAACTCGAATTTAGTTTGAAGAGGCTGGAGGGAAAGTACTGCACAGGTTTTGCTTGAAACTGAAAGGAAAGCAAAGTAGGTAGGCATCACGTTAACTCCACAGTTCCTGAAAATCAAACACTTTCCTCAGGGTTGAAAGAAAGAAAAAGTGTTGTGGTATCCTCTATAGCAATGGCAGTGGTCTTCGGGGCCCCTCTAGACCCCAACATTGGCCATAGCAGGCCTAGAAATTCCTTTCCCTCCCAATTTATTAATAAAAAAATTAAAAATCAGTCAAGAAGTGCCCAGACACCCTTTTTGGTTTGGGTTTTGTATTTTTTTTTTCTAGCAAAGGGGAGCCTTAGAAGGCCCCCAAAGTACAAACCACCGCTTTTAGAGGCAGGAGTAGAAATGGGATGTTTTGTTCAAAAAACACTTCTTTTGCCTTGGGGAAGCTAAAAAATGCCCAGGGAGGGGGGACCACATGCAACTCATGGGCCAGATAATCGCCCACCCCTATTCTACAGCACATGACAGTAAGTGGCCAACTTAGTGGGTACAGGACAGGACTTACGTTACAGTACACATGGACCCATTATTCAGCAGTTATGCTACAGTCACCTCACTTTGTCATGGAAGCCTACTCAGCAATGAAAGTTGGCGTTTAGTCATGGACAAGTCAATAAATAAAATAAGGTTATGGGGAGAACAGTATTATAAAATGTTCTTCATCCTTAGCTTTCTAGACACAAATTGGATATAAATTTATTATAAATTAAGGTTACCTGAACATCTGAAGACTCTTTTTAATCTCCAGTCTCCATTTGATCATATAACTATGCCTATAATTCCTCTATTCTTGCATCAGACACAATCCAAAACACCTACTCCTTTTTTCTTCTTCCTGGAACTGACTTTCATACAGCTTTTACTCTTTCATCCCCTCAGGTATTATTACAAGCGGGAAATCTTGGAACGAGTGGATGGGCGGCGGCTTGTATATAAGTTTGGGAAGAACTCTAGTGGATGGAAGGAAGAAGAGGTGCAAGGCAAGAGCTAAGGAACTTTGGGAGCTACATGTGGACCTGGATTTGGCCCATTCTTGCTCAGAGGACCAACTCTGAGCACAATGCACTGACTGATTTGGGCTCCAAGCCCTTAAGCTGCTGTCTGAAGCAGTGTATATTAAGACTCCAGCCCTTCAGTGGGGCAAGGCATGTGTGCTGGCTCCCAGCTGGCAGTTCAGGTAATTACAGCTGATATTTTGGCTCAAGTAGGTTATTGTGAACCATTATTATTTTGTCATGATTGGACTCTAGCTGCCGTCAATTCAGAATGGGATTACAATGCCTTTGGCTTGTCTGAGGCTCTGCGTGGAGCTCGCTGAGGCAAAAAGAACAGGCTGTTCTTGGTGTTTGCTTTGTCCCAGAGGGCCGTTCACAGGACATCAAACAGTCTGCTGACTGATAGTGAATGCGGTGGCCAACTGGGCATTGGAGACTTGGATTTGCCACAGTGCTGCCCACAGAGTACGGAGTTGCTAATAATCCTGATATCCATTCTGGAGAGGAAGTTGGACATATAGCTTCCCACCCAGCTGCACAGTAGTTACTGGCTAACACTCCTATTATAACAGGTAGAAATCAGTTAGCACAAATAAGGCTGAGAACATTGTGGATCTCACCCAATTTTGGAGGGAACTGCTTGGGAGCTCTTAGCTTGACGGTTCCCCAGAAAATATGTTTGTGTGTAGCAGTGAAGGGAGAGCATTCTTCTTGATAAGTATGGCAGCCTTCCAACTCTTAATTTATGTGAAATATGTAAGTTTGTGTACATATATACAGTATGTATATATATATATATATCTAATGTACATAGGTATCTATTTTTTTCATAACGTTCTTAAAGTTGTGTGATTGTCAGGAAGCACTGGGCATTTTCAAAACGAATTATTGTTCTTGTTAATATTCAGCTGGGCTGAAGAAAAAGGAAATCTTTATTTTGAAATCAGAAAGTGTTTGTAGGGTGTTGTACCTGCTCGTCGGTGACTCCAGGAGAGTCCTGCGTGATGTACAGGTCTCCTGCTTTTTAATAAATAACCAATAAATCATTGTTTTGTTGGTTTTTAAATCATTGTGTGCTTTGTTTTAATAATATTTGTTGACTGTGATAAAAGCAGGGAACAGATCATCAGAATAAGAGAGAAGGGACATGTATACTAGAGAAAAATAATTTGCTTGAATAGACATCATGGAAATGCCTTCCATTTAAGAGTATTTCTTACAATTGCTTCAGATTATTCTTCTCCCCCAAAAAACTGCCTTCTGGATGTGTAGGGCCAGAACCTCTGTATCTGCTAATCAAAAAGTCTACTACATCAGCCCTGGATCCACTCTACTAATGCCCATCCCTTTGAAGTGTAGGTTGACCTGGCAGTCCAGACTCCTTCAATAAATGGATGGGGCGGTGGGACAGAAATGTTCTCGATCTTCACATTAAATGGTAAAAAGTCTTGAGTCAATCCTTTCCACAGATGAGAACGAAATATTTGCATCGAAAATTCAAATCTGACCTGCTCTTAGCATCACATCCAAAATTTTAAAAAAACATGGGCAGGTGACACCTTTATTTGTTATGTGCGGTCAAGTCCCTTCCAACCTATCATGACCCTACAAATGAGTTATCTCTAAAATGTCCTGTCCTCAACAGTACTGCTCAGCTTTTTAAAACTCAAGCCCGGGGCTTTCTTTAGGGAGTCAATCCACCTTATATTTGGTCTTCCTCATCCCCTGCTGCCTTCCACCTTTTCCAGCATTATTGTCTTTTCTAGACAATCCTGCCTTCTCATGATGTGCCCAAAATAGGACCGACTCAGTTTCATCATTTTGTCTCCAGAGATAGTTCAGGGTAGGACCCACTTGCTTGTCTTTCGGGCAGTCCAGAGTACCCACAAAGCTCTTCTCCAGCACCAATTTTCATATAAATATTTTTTTCTATCAGCTTTCTTAACTGTTCAGCTTTCACACCCATACATGGTGATTAGAAATACTAGAGTATGGATGATCTTGGTCTTGACCTCCAGTGACACATCCTTACATTTTATTTTATTTTATTTTCTAATTCCTTCTTTGCTGCCCTTCCAAGTTCAGTCTTCTGATTTCTTGGCTGCAGTCTCCCTTTGGACTGATGACATAACCAAGATATACAAAATCTCTTACTATCTCAATTTTTTCAATGTCAGTGTTAAAGCTGTGTAGTTCTTCTGTAGTCATAATTTTTGTCTTCTTCAAATTCAACTGCAGTCCTCCTTTGGCACTTTCTTCTTTCACTTTCCCTAACAGTTATTCCAAGTCAGTTACTCCTTTCTGTCAGTAAAATAGTGTCATCTGCATATCTTAAATTATTGATGTATCTTATACAAATTTTTACTCTTCCTTCATCTGAATCTAGTCTGGCTTACCATATGATACGTTCTGCACACACATTGAACAGATAAGGGCATAAAATGCACCTTTGTGTGACACCTTTGCCTACAGGAAACCATTCTGTCTCCATATTCTGTCCATACTCTTGTCTACAATACAAGTTAAACATCAGGACATTTGTTCTTTGAGAACAATCCATAGTTTCTCATGATCTACTTTTATTAGGCTACTAAAATATATTATGAGTAGTGCAGAAAAAAATTATGGAAGTCTCAAAAACTATACTTTTGTTTACAATTGGGGGCATTGCAATACACACATTTTTATATACTGTACTGAAAGTCCTAGTGGTCTTCAACACATAAAGAGCAGCAGAACAAGTAAAGGCCTTCCTTGGGAAACCTCCTGGCAGTTGAAGCCCACACAGGTCATAGAATCATAGAGTTGGAAGGGGCCTTTAAGGCCATCAAGTCCAAGCCCCTGCTCAGTGCAGGAATACAAATTGAAGGATATCTGGCAGGTAGTTGTCTAGTTTTCTCCTGAATGCCTGCACTGTTGGAGCACTCACCACTTCTTGAGGTAATTGGTTCCATTGCCATACTGCTCTAACAGGATGTTTTTCCTGATACTCAACCAAAATCTGGCTTCCTATAACTTGAGCTCATTGTTATGTGTTCTGCACTCTGAGAGGATTGAGAACAGATCCTGCCCTCTTTTGTATGATAGCCTTTCAAGTATTTGAAAAGTACTACCATCTTTCTCCTGAGTCTTCTTTTCTCAAGGCTAAACATGTCCAGTTCTTCCAGTCTTTCCTCATAAGGCTTGGTTTCCAGCCCCCATGTTGCTCTCCTTTGAACTTGTTCCAGTTTGTTGGCATCCTTCTCACAGTGTGGTGTCCAGAATTGGACACAGCACTCAAGATAAGGCCTAACCAGTGCCAAATACTGTAGAGGGAAACTTCACGGGATTTGGAGACTATTATTCTGTTAATGCAGCCTAAAATCGCTCTTGCCCTTTTTGTAGCCACAGTACTTAGAAAACATACTTTTTCGACTGCAACGCCGAAGAATCTTCCAGTCACCATGACAGCCTTAGTTCAAGAAAGTTTTCTAAACCTTGTTAGGAGCAGCGATTGCCTTTGTATAAAGCAGCATTGTATGATCCCCAGCCAAGCAAAACAGAGCAAAGTTCTCATTCCTGACTGGGGAGGAGCAATCCTGCTATAAATCCATTGTGGAGTAAAATAAAGTTCCTCAGGCATCCAGTTTTAAGTGGTGGGTACAGGAGTCTCTGCCTGCTTCAGTCTCTTTTCCTTTTTTTAACCTTTGAACTCTTACAGACATCTCCATTTCTTACCCACCTGCCTGTGCGATAAGAGGTAAGAGTGACAGAAGTGGTTGCACAGTCATAAGTTTTATTCATTGCTGTAGTGAAAATAGTGAAAATGGTGCCGATTCCTTCCACATTTAAGCAAATACAACGTTTCATTTGCTGCATCACTCATATTGTCTCTCCACAGCTGCTGTTTACTAAACTTCTCTCTCTGTGAGTTAGCAACACAAAACAGTGTGTCACATTCATGGAAACTAAACAGACACCTCACCGAGGCCCATACCAAGCAGAGATTAGTAGCTCTACTTCTTTGGACTAGCCTGGTCACGAGGATTCTGTTATGTCCATTGAAGCCATGGAACTTATGGAGAAGTTGACTCACTAAGTTCCCACCGACTCAATAGGCCTGCTCGAGTGGTGACTTATTACTGGATTTCAGCATGCATATTATAAAATGATACGTCTGACTCAAGAGTAGTGCCACCTAATTGATTTGTATTGCTCATCAATGCAGGACTGGTGTTCTTTGTCTTTCAGACACTGAGCTTGGAACAGTCATAACTTCAGTTTCAAGGATTTATTCTTACAAGAGTACTTGTAGCCATTTTTGTTCGTGGTAGAGTGGAGAGAAAGGTGATTGAAACAAATGTCATGAGTGGCATGAATAGGTATGACATTCCACCCCATTCCCTTTATAACTCTCAGAAATGAAGGCTTTCACTGTAATTTAAAACACACATACATACAAAGAACAGAATTCAATGCAGTAGTGTTTTACAGTTCCTAGAAGTTTTAAGGAAGGGAATTATCATAGAAAATCATAGAAATCACAAAATAAATAAATAAATAAATAAAGCCACAAACAAACAAAAAACCTTGGGAGAGTGTCAATGAATTAATATCTGGCAACTTCCTCATAAAACCACTTCAATGAAACACCTAGCACGAAATTGGAATTCTATGCCTTCATGACTGTCATTCCCAGTTACTGCTATAGCAGCTGACAGTAGACTCAACATGCTTTTACTGTCTGGCTATGGCTGGATTAGGATCTGAGATTTATTTATTTATTTATTTATTTATTTATTTATTTAATATCCCACCCATCTAGACCGAAGTCTACTCTGGGCAGCTAACAACACTCAAGAATAATAAAATAAAATAAAACAACAACATTAATACAATTGAAGATAGCAAATAAATTAGGTATTGACAGGAGGGAAGGCCTGCCTAAAGAGCCAGGTCTTGAGTTGGCTCTTAAAAACAACCAGCAAGGGAGCCAGACAAATTTCTGGGGGGAGATTGTTCCAGAGGCAAGGGGCCACTGCCGAGAAGGCCTGCTTTCTCGTTCTTTCTCTTCAGGCCTCCATTGGCGTTAGGCTCCTCAGCCTAAAGCAAGTGATTCAGGTAGATCTAGGTGGGAGGAGGCGTTCTGCCAGATATTGAGGTCCTAAAGTGTTTAGGCCTTTATATGTCATCATTAGTATTTTGAAATCAATGAGGAAATGAACGTGCATTCAAGGCAGGGCAGCCAAAGTAGGGGAGATATGTTGATATTTTCTCACCCCAGTCAGAAGTCTGGCCGCCACACTCTGCACTATTTGAAGCTTCCGCAAAGTGCCGGGTCAAGATGGATCCCCAGACTGCGAACCGAATTCTTTGTGGTGAGAGTCATCCCTCCAAAAGAGAGGGAGTTCCCCAAACCACTGACATATAGGCCACCCACCCTCAGGACCTCCGTCTTGTCCGGGTTCAGTCTCAGATCCACCTGCATCCATTTCAATACAACCTCCAGACAGTGCTGAAGGGACGAAAAGGCATCCACTGTTGTTGGAGAAAAGGAGATGTAAATCTGGTGTCATCAGTGTACTGATGACACGCAGGCCCCACACCCCCTTATGACCTCATCCACCGGCCTCATGTAGATATTAAACAGCATTTAGGAGATACTCGATCCCTGCGGAACCCCACAGTCAAGATTCCATGGAGCCGATACACTCTCCCCAAGCTGCACTCTCTGGGGACGGTCCTTCAAGAAGGACTGGAGCCAGGCTAGTGCCAGACCACCAATTCCAAGCTCAGAGAGCCTTCCCAGGAGGATACTGTGGTCGACGGCATCAAAGGTGGCTGAGATATCAAGAAGGACCAACAGAGACATTTTGTCCCTGTCGGCCTCTCTCAGCAGGTCATCAAACAGGGTGACCAATGCTGTTTCTGTGCCATGGCATGGCCTGAAGCCATACTGAAATGGATTCAGGGCATTGGTTCCATCCAAAAGGGCCTGGAGCTGGTCAGCCCCCACCCTCTCTACCACTTTACTGAAAAAAGAAACATTGGTGACAGGCCTATAATTGCCAATGTTCTCCACCGCCAAACT